GAGGAGGAGGATCATGAGGAGTAGGAGTATGAGGAGGAGGATCAGGAGGATGATGATCAGGTCGATGAGTAGGAGGAGTGCATACGAAGTGGGGTGGGCAGAACAAGCGCATGTTCATGGACCTGATGAGCACACTGGGGAACAGCAGGCTCTCCAAGGGCACGATGATCCAGTCGCTCAAGCTCATCCACGACGTGAAAAAATTCTGCATGAGTGACAAGGCGGGGTCGGGGATAGGAGGGAGGATTGAAGAATTGGAAGATGAGCAGCAGCACGAGAACACGATGGAGATGGAGGTGGAGAGGGGGAGGAGGACGAGATGGGAGGAGGAGAAGGAGGAGGAGGAGGAGGAGGAGATCAGGCGTTAAAGCGGGGGGCGGTGCCAGCCAGGTAGGAGCAGCAGATCCAGGGCACCCTGGCAGAATTCAAGAGGTCAGAGCGCTGTGATGTTCAGGTGGGGCCCCCAGGAAACCCCAATGAATGCCCCAATGACTCCCCAATGAGCCCCAATGAACTCCAATGAGCTTCCCTGGATCAGCGAGGAAACTGAGCTTAGAAACGCCAAGGTGAGCAAGGGGAGAGCGAGCAAAGAGGGATCAATACGGCGAACGGGAGGCGCGAGACAAGTGGATCAGCGTCTACCAGAAGCGCGTGCGGACAGCGGTGGTGCACATCAGGGACGCAGGATTGGCGAGCTGCCACTGTCGTCGCCTCGCCTTCGTCGTCGGGGGAATAAGCAAGAGGAGGATGAGGAGGATGAGGAGGAGGAGGAGGAGGAGGAGGAGGAGGAGGAGGAGGTGGAGCTGGAGGGAGGTGAAGGGAAGCTGGAGGAGGGAGGACGAGGGAGGAGGATGCCTCCCCCTCCTCCCCTCCCCCTCCTCCTCCTCTGTCTCCTCTTTCTCCTCCTCCTCCTCCTCCTCCTCTCATCCTCCTCCTCCTCCTTCTCCTCCTGCGCCTCCTCGGGTGGGGCCCGCGAGAGCCCCTTGCCCCCCTCCCCCCGAACCTGGGGCTTGCGAGGGTGACCTGGCTCCAGCCGATCAAATATTCCTTCATGTGTGATCTTCCCTCATTTTCCTTCCTTCATCCATCCACTGGAAAGGCCATTCCCCCTCCCTCGTTGTCGGTAGGACGGAAGCCTCTAAAGTGGGTGGAGAAGCTGCTGTCAGACGAGGCTGCAGGAGACGACGAAGACTTCGAGGAGGAGGGCGGAGAAGAGGAGGGCGCAGTCTCTGCTAGTGACGAAGAGCAGGACGATGGGGACGAGCCGACAGTGTCGAAAAAACCTGCAGCTGCCGATGCTGATGAGGTGGCGCCGAAAAAGAAACCAACCTGCTCGATGACGTCGGTGATGAAGCGGCCAGCTGCGGCCACAACAGTTGACGGTGTGCCGACGGCGAAGAAAGCAAAGGCCGCGCCGCCATCCACATTGTCGCCCACCGAGGCGCCCAAAGCAAAGGCCAACCACAAGGCCGTGAAGGCCACCGACGACACCAAGGCTTTGCAGTCGCCAGTCCCGACGACACCAGCCCTTCCAGCAGCACCGCAGAGTATCATTCCAGATAGTTTCTTGGACAAGCGGTTCGCACCGCGATCGCCGCCGATTGAGCCAACAACCGCGGCAGCAGCTCCGACGCCAGCAGTGCCCGCCCAGCCGCCGATGCAGCCGGCGCCGAACGAGCCACAGAAAACAATAGAAAAACTAATAATCGTGCCAGAGTCGCCAGCCTCTACAGCCGCAGCCGAACCACCAGCCGAGCCGCCGACTAGGAGGCCGCGTGGATCGCCGTCAGCAGCACCAGCAGCAGCAACAACAGCCGATGAGGAGACACAGAACGCACCCGAGATTGAGACCAAGATTGCCTGGTGCGAGCAGCGGCGCCAGGCGAGCCTGCAGAAGCGCACGGGCAGGAAAAAGTGGGGCCCGCCCGAGTACACAGACATATTCGAGCCAGACGAGGAGGGCAGAGTGCACGCGGTGTTCGCGTGCGGCAGCAGGTACGTGGTGGAAGACCTGGCTGCCAGCGACTTGCCAGAGTTGCTGAAGGCAGCGTAGGGGCGGAACAGGATGAGGAGAGGAAGGAGGATGGTGAGGATGAGGAGGCAACTGATAACAGGAGGGCTCTGGAAAGCGAAGGAGGGACCAGAACCACAACTGACGCGGATGGGGAAGACGGGCGAGAGGCAGAGGGCATCTGGGAGCGCACAGGCCACGGAGGAGTTCCACGCGAAGGCCAAGAAGGGGGGCGTGTGGGGCGGCATGAGCGTCGACGCCGAGGAGGTCAAAGTGCTCCACTTGAAACAGAAGGCCCGTTCTGATTGATATGCTTTACCCCGTGCCTGCTCTTGCACATCCTCAGCCTCATGGCCCCCTCCGGTTCTGATTTTCCCATCGTCTGACCCCATTCTGAGAAGGGGAAGGAGGAGGCGGAGGAGGAGGAGGAGGAGGAGGAGGAGGAGGAGAAGGGGGAGGAGGAGGAGGAGGACGACGAGGGGGAGGAGGAGGAGGAGAGAGGAGGAGGTGAGGGAGGAGGAGGTGGAGGAGGAGGAGGAGGAGGAGGAGGAGGGGGACGGAGGATGGAGGCGGAGGAGGAGCCCGCGACTGCGCAGGGCAGAAACGACATCGTGGCGATCAAGGAGAAGAACAAGCAGCTGTGCATGCAGACCATCGCGGGCTCCATGACTGCCGATGTGGCCAAGGATATCATGATATCCATCGCCGACCGCTACTGCAAAGGACTTTTCCTTTTCATCCTCATTGTTCTGCCCCTGCCCCATCCCCCTAGCCCTTTCCCTCCTCTCGGCACTTCTCACTCTGCCCCTTCCCCTCTCGTTTTCCCTTCCTCGATCGTCCTCCTCCTCCTCCTCCTCCTCATCATCATCATCAACCTATCCTCCCCCTCCTCCTGAATCTTCTGTCTCACTTTTTTTGAGCAGGTTCCTGGTTGGGGCTCGCCTTCGGTTTTCTGCCATCAGTTTCGAAATACGAGGTTGTACAGACAGTCGTTGGTTGAGAATGCCTCGATCTGTATACGACCCAATCGTAGAGATAAGATAATCCACAGCTCTTTCCTCGCCCCCCCCTCCTCCTCCTCCTCCTCCCCCTCCTCCTCCTCCTCCTCCTCCTCCTCCTCCTTCTCCTCCTCCTCCCCCATCCTCCTACTAGGAAGCCTCCTCATCCTCGATCCTTCTCAGGGCTCCTGAAGAAGGACGACCTGTGCACGGAGCGGGACAAGATGGCGTCGAGTCGCACAGACTGACGATCGAGCGACAGGCAAGCACGCGCTATCGACGGCATGTGCCTGGAGGCTGGCAAAAACGTAACGTCTCCTTCCTCACCTACTCCTCCCAAGCGCGAAGATAGCCGCTCTTCGCTTCGCCGTCTGGGTCAGAATGGGGGTCCTCCAGAAAGCTCCTATCAGTGGGGGGGAGCACCAGCGGCGCGATGAAGCGAAGGCGCGATGGAGCGAAGTTAAGTGATCTGAGTCTCGAGCGGGGCCCTCCTCTCCCTCGTACTCTCCAAGAGCAACTATCTATCTGTATACCCTCTCTCTGCACCTCGCCCTGCCCCTTCTGAGCGGGGGCCCTGACAAAATTGGCGTGCGAGGGAGGCCAGCAAGCTCATTGGAGGTCATTGCCAATTCATTCGGGTTTCATTGGCCGCCTCATTGGGCTGACCCTATCCCGACCACCCCTCCCCCAGGTTTGGTTTTGTAACATGCGGGTTTGGAACGCCGAGTAAGAGAGTATACCGCTTGGATAACCCGCGAAAGCCCTGGGGCGTGCAAAAGTGTTCCAGGACCTCTTGAAGATAGATTTCTCATCGAATGTGCCTATATAGACTGTAACACCACAATCCAATACACCCCCTCTGCCACCCGTCGCATCCCCCGCAACCTTTCGAGCTCAAGAGCTGGATTCTCAGGAGCGCCTCGATTGCCCTGCACGGGCTCGATCAGCAGGCGCCATGCCGAACGAGGGGTTTGCTCCATTCTGTGGGGCTTACGGGCGCCTATCGGACGATTGTGCGGTAGGGATACTCTCGGTGCCGAAACCGTCCCAAGCGAAGCAGTTTCAGAACTTTGGGCCTGGCGATTATGCATCCGACGATTTAGGCGCAGATCAGATTGGCAAGATGTTCGCTGATCTTGATGAGGACAAGCCAGACCCCACCGCCAGCGGGAGCAGACGTCAGCCCTTCGATGACGACGAGCCAGACCCCACCGCCAGCTGGAGCGGACGTCAGCCCTTCGATGAGGACGAGCCAGACCCCACCGCCAGCGGACGTCAGCCCTCCGACTTGGTCGATCTCACCCAAGAAACGCAAGACTCGATCGGCATGCCGATCTTGCCCCATGCGGACCAGGCTGAGGACCCCTCAAGAACAACCTTGCCCTCTCCCCCCCGCTTTCCATGCCACTTTCCCTCCATCCTCCCCTTGAGCTCGAATCTAATGGATTTACTCCCCGGTGAGTTCATTGGGAGGCATCGCCATCCCATCTGGGTCAAAATGTCCCCCCCCCCCTCTTTCCTTGCCAGGACAGTGCGCAGCACTGGGAATGCATCGTGTGCGGCAACCCCAACCCCACTACCTCGGAGAACTGCGAGAACTGCAACTCGGACCGCCGATTTGGAGGAGGGTGGGCGATCCGAGTTTCCTGGGTGCAGGCGGAGAGCGAGCGCAGCGATGGTATATATGCATTTCCTACAAACCTGGCGGGATGCAGCGATTGCGACTGCCATCTAACTATCTGGTAGTTTGTGAGAGCGAGAGCAATGAGCTACGCGGCATTACGCCCCGCACTCCCCTAAGAAGGGGAGAGGTCGAGGAGGTGAGGGGAGGCGGGAGATGAAGGATGAGACGGAGCAGAGGGACGATCAGGAAGGGATCGAGAGGGCAGAGGGGAGGAGAGAGAGAGAGAGAGAGAGAGAGAGAGAGAGAAATGAAGGAATGCGGAGAGAGGATTTTTTCTGCCCAATAGGACATGCTGCTCTCGGTCGAGGACACGGTCGCCGCCGCGGACCTGGCCGCGTATCGCGCGAACCTTGAGCAGGAGGTGGCCCGCATCGCTGAGGAGCTGGCGGCAGAACGTTCTGTGCAGGAGGCGGCCGAGTTGCGCGCCGCTGATGAGGAACTGCGCGCCATTGAAGCGCAGCTTGAAGCCGATGAGGCCCGCAGCGCCGCCGCTCCCGAGGCTCTCGACCAGGAGTTGACCGAGCGTGTCCGCGCTGAGGAGGTTGAGGCCCAGCGCGCCGCCGCTGCTGAGGCCCAGCGCGCCGCCTCTGCTGAGGCGCAGCTCGCCGCCGAAGCTGAGGCGCGCCAGCGCGGAGCGCGGGCGGCCCAGCACGCAGCCGCTGCCGCAGTTGCAGCTGCTGAAGTTGAGTCGGTCCACGAGAGCGATCATGATGATGACGGCTCAGGTCCAGAGGTGGAGCTCTTCAAGGGCATGACGAAGACGCGCAGCGAGCCTGATGACGACATGACCGCGGGCCAGACCCTCGAGGATTCCGTAGTCGAGCTGGACTTCCAGCGATTCCGTGAGCGAGCCAGTGCCCTGCAGGGCGCCTGTGACGACATCGATGAGACGGCGCCCGAGCTAGCCACAGTGCCCGCGGCCCCCGAGGACATCAAGAGGGCGTTGAAGCGCCCCGCTTCGCGTCCGAGCCAGAACCGCTCGACCTATCCAACGGCGTCGTCGGCCGCCGACGCCACCGCGAAGCCGCTGCCAGGAGTCTCCTCCAAGGCAGCAGGGGCGCCGCCGATCTCAGGGTGGCGCGACGTCAGCGCCGCCATGCATCCGTCAGCCGCGGCTCACGGGACGGGCCCGCTGCCTCTGCCGCCAGCGAAGCTCGCTGATGAGGATGGCAGCCTGCGTGCAGGGCCAGCGGGCGCTACCCCGACGGCCCCCCCAACGTTTGGCGCCGCGGAGCCTGGCGAGGAACATGTGCCCTCCGTCTTGGAGACGGTCAACAAGTCGATGAATGCCCTGGCGAAGCGCGTGGCGCAGATGGAGGCCACCAAGGCGAAGGCCGACATCCCAGAGACCGTGGCGCGCGCCATGGAGAAGCTGGAGCGGGCAGTGAGGGATGGCGTCAAGGCGAGGTCTGACATATACCAGCAGTTTGGCAGGTGGTTGGTGCAACAACAGAAGGACGCGGTCTTCGCTGACAACTGGGAGAAGAAATCGTTCGAGGAGAAGAAGCTCTTTCGGAACGACTGGGCAAGCATGAAGCTCACCGAGTTGAAGAGGCAGTGGATCCACGTTCACGCCTACAAGATGGTGGACGAGTCCGTGGGCGTCTACTACAGCTTCTCGAGAATCGCAGTGGACCGCAGGGTGGAGAAATATGAGGAGGACGAAGGGGGGGATGAGGAGGAGGAGGAGGAGGAGGAGGAGGAGGAGGAGGGAGGGGTAGGAAGAGGAGGAAGAGCAGGAGGAGGAGGAGGATGATGATGATGATGATGATGACGCGCCATAAGGGGACGGTACTCCTGAGACACAAAGACTGAGATGCCACCAATACGCCAAACGCGTATGGTATAGAAGGGGGAAGCGGGCGAGGCGAGAAAGGAAGGGCAGAAAGAGAGAGAATCCCAACCCAAGATTGAAATCCATGGTACTGGACGAAATCTTGAATGTAAAATCACCTGTCCAGTTTTGATAGAGAACACGATTAAGTCCCATGACGCCCAGAGAAGTCGAGTCTAAAGCGAATCTGAAGCGAACCCGACTTAAATTGAACCAAGGATATTGAGTGAAAGAAAACCATACACATTGAATGAAGTGTAATCAGTGAGAGAAGAAACCAAGAGATGAGTAGCACAATCACCTTGCTTGTCTTGAGTGAACCAGACATTGATGTGTAGAGAACTTTCGTTGAGTCCCTTGAATCCCAGAGATTGAACCAATACTATTGAATGGATGAAGACCGTCCACTTGAGTGAACCAGATATGGGTATAAAGAAAACTAAAGTTGAGTCCCTTGAAGCCCAGAGAATAAAGGCAGTCTCCCGCTCAAGAAAAGCGCTGAAAGAAGTCTAGCCATTGAGTGTCACAACCACGCATTGAACCAGAAGATATGGAGGCAAACAAAGAAAGAACTGAAAGGAAGCGAGTGATCCCATCCGAGTAGTCCCACTCCAGTTGAACCAGAATGTGCGGTGCAATTGAATTCAAGACTGCGAAACGTTGGATGCAGTGGGTGGTAGCGAAGGGTATTGACCCACAATCTGTGTAGGGGCGTGCAATGGTGAGGGAGAAAGAGGAGGAGGAGGAGGAGAAAGAGGAGGAGGAGGAGGAGGAGGGGAAGGAAGAGGAGGAGGAGAAGGAAGAAGAGGATGAGGATACAGCCACCTCCCGCAGGAGGAGGGCGGCCATCACGACGAGGAGAATGTCGTGGCGGCGAAGCGGTACTGCGAGGCGTGCATCGCCATGGGCGGTGAGTGGACCACGCTGTGCTCCATGACGGAGCGGGTGAAGTTCTTCTACGTCACGCTCTCGCGCCGCGACGTGATGGAGCGCTCGTGGTCGCAGCACGTGGAGCTCCAGCAGCAGGCGGGGACTGGGCCCGAGCAGCAGTCCCCAGCGGCAGCAGCAGCAGCAGCAGCAGCAGCAGCACCCGCGCCCGTCGCTGGAGATGCCGCCGTGAAGGCAGAGGGGGAGGCTGGCGCTCCCGCGCCTGGCGGCGCTGCTCCCGTGGGCCTTGGCCCGAAGCATGAGGCAGCAGCCGAGAGGAAGCGCAAGCGTGAGGAGAAGGATGCGACTCTGACCGAGGAGCAGAAGGCTGCAAAGGAAGCCAGGAAGCAGATCGCGAAGGCCGAGGCGGACGCAAAAAAACCTTGATCACGTACAAGGCCTTGCAGCAGTCGGTCGAAGCGACCAAGAAGTCCGCCGACACGCTTCCCGAGTGGAAGTGGCTCAAGGGCATCTCATCCCCCCCCCCTCCTCCTCCTCCTCCTCCTGCTCCTCCTCCTCATCCTCCCTCCTTCCTCCTGCTCCTCCTCCTCCTCCTCCTCATCCTTCCTCCTCCTCCTCCTCCCTCGATCCTCCCTCCTCCTCTTGCTCCTCTAGTTGCTCATCCTCCTTCGCCTTCCGCCTCCTCTTCCTCCTCCTCCTCTTCCTCCTCCTCCTCTTCCTCCTCCTCCTTCCCCTCCTCTGTTCCTCCCCCCACTCTCCAGTCGAGGAGCGCCCCGCGGAGTACCGGGCCTTGGAGGCGATCCAGAGCTCCATCACGAAGGCGCGCAGCGGCCTCTTCGACCGCATGATGTGCGAGCAGATTGCTGACATCAAGAAGGACTGGAAGGACAGCGAGGCTGGCCTCGAGATGGAGTTCAAGTCCATCGTGAACAGGAGCGGGGGGATTGCTGCCCCATCTTGATTCACGTTACTTGATCCAAAATAGCGACACTGGAGGAGTAGGAGTTCAATGTTTGAAATGTCGTTCGAAACGCCACAGCTTGAGCCAACATTGCAACAGTGGAGGAGGAAGCGAGGAGAAAAGATGTAGAACATGAGGACAGGAGAACGATAATTGCCAGGGGGCAGGAAGGACCCCTCGATGGAAGGAAGGATCAGGAGATGAAGGGAAGGAGGCCTGCATGGAGGAAGGGCGGATGATTAATTATAGGTAGAGCGAAACGAGGCAGAGGGAGGGGGGATATCGGGCAGGGGGGGGGGCAGGAAAGCGTCAGCGACATAATAAAATGCACGGTCGTGAGAGGATGAAGAACCCGATCGCGGAGCTGCAGCGCTGGCACACCAAGATCACGGAGAGCCACGCCCTCGAGAAGAAGCATGCCTCGAGCAAGTCTAAGTAGGCCCAGCGAGGCCGCGTGCAGTTTACTCATTGCAGGGGGTCCAGCTCTCATACGGTTTTAGACGAGCTGCTGGGGTTGCTAGCTGCTGCGAGTAAGAGCCAGAACAATGAGCAAGAAGCATTTCTATCCAGAAGATTTCCCGCCCTCAACAGACTCCTGGGCCCCCCCCCCCCTCAGCCAGACGCATCCTTTTCGCCACCCTGGGATGCCAAATCAGCCTGCCAGGCAGGGGGCGGAAGGCGCAACCACGAAAATCTAGAATCACACCCGAAAATCCAGAATCACGCCCGAAACGGACCCGATGAATTACCCGATGAACCCCCCCCCGATGAGTTACCCAATGAGTGTGCCCAAACCCTGTAAATTTACAGGTAAAGTCCACCTCCCAGGCCACCCAATGACCCGATGAGTCACCCGATGAGCCCCGATGAGTTTTTTGGGGCCTCCCTGGGAGCCCGGTTGATTCATTTTCAGGGCCCGACGGCCCCCTGAGGTGAGATCGAGCTCCGAAGTTCTGGCTCGCCCTGCCCGTATGCTGAGCTGCTGGTGCTCTCGCGCCCTCGAGCATTGGCACATTGAATCGGGTCTTGTGGGTGCCATCAGATGCACCCGAATCTACCGTAAAGACAACGTTTCCAGAATGATTTCAACAGAAAAGCGTTGAGTTGACCTGAAGCTGAAATGAACCGTTGAGCCCTGTGTGGGGATCAGACGGCATCGAGAAATACGGTGCGATTCTGAACAGGACCAGGGGCGATCTTTGTGCACATAGCTTTTAAGATAGCGAGAGGCAGCGGCACTTCTTCGGATAACCACGTGATGCGATGTTCGGCGCCCGTGCTGCCTGCTGGTGTGAGAGAGTCGTCGATCGTCATCGTTGTCTCTTCTTTCGGCGTTGGCCAATGGAGGGGGCGATAAGAAGGGGGTGTGGCTCTTTGAGCACATGTCATGCGCCGTCGGGTCCAGTGGATTTTGTTTAGGTGCCCTTCTGGGTCGCGTTCCTGAATCCCCAATGGATACCTTCAAATATCGCCCCCCACCATTGCACAATGCTCACCCCTGCCCCCTCGCCTTGGTCCGGCAAACTCATTGGGATTCATTGTCAGTTCATTGTCTGATCATTGCGTGTCTCATTGAGAGCTGCGTCTCTCGAGAAGCCCCGAGAAGCCCCACGCCCGCACACATGCCCTACATACAACATGCCTCCCAAACCCAGGGCCCGCGGTCCGCAATGCCCTGGCCTATGTGGGTCGTGCCGTTTGAACTTGGATTTTGCAGAGATGCGCCATTTGGGCGGCAATGCTTGTACGTCCCTGCGCACAGCAGCAGCAGCAGCAGCATCACCCATGACCAGAACGCGACAAACGCTGACAATTACAATGACACGAACAACGACACGAGCAACGACATGAGCAATGGCACGAACAACGGCACATACGATGGCAATAAGACCGATGTCACGAAAACTAAATGCAACACGGGCGCCAACCGCGAGGGCTGAAGCGTAGATGCTCCCGCCATTTCCACTCCCGCTCCTGCAGGAAGGTAGTGTGTGAGGGGGAGGTATAGGATGGAGGAGCACGTTACTGCACTTGGCACGCGCACTTATGTATAGTATGTACATGCGCGTGGAGATACATAGACATTAAAGCTTGCACTATCATGCAAGGTGAATCGCGCTCGTTCAGCCTCCCTGTAGTCGTTTGGCCCGATCCGTCGTTAGGCCTGCGATCCTAGATCCCGACGGGCCGACAATGGATGCGCCTCCCCCACCTCGCCCTCACGCGGAGACCAGGGGCAGGAAAAAACGGCGCCCTGCTGAGCCCGCGCCCCGTGATTGGAACCTCGAGGAGAGCTCGGACCCTGAGCCTGAGGAAACGCGAGATCCCGATGCAGGAGCCGCCTTTATTGATGAGTTAATTGAGATGTACCTCTTGGGGACGAAGATGACCGCGCGCCACTTTTGCATTCTCTCCTACCACGCGTTCAAGGGGGGCTTGTTAGAGGCGCGTCCATACGCGGTCAACCCGACGGCCAAGGGGGATAACTACCAACGCAAGCTTGACAAAGCTTTGGGCCTCACAAAGTTCGACCAACGGCTGTATCACCTGGACGCGCCAGGACATGATCGAAACGCCCCCGAGACATCTACCCTGACATTTCACGCGACCCCGCCTCACGAGGCCATTGCGGCCGAATTGCAATCCCACCCAGAGATCATGTATGATTGGCAAGAAAAAATATCTACTGAGCCTTGGATCAAAGAGTGGGAAGATCACGTTCTTGTGAAAGCGGCATCAGATGAGGAACGCACGCGCATGCTACCTGTTGCGCTATACCTTGACAAAACCCCGTACACCAACAACGACTCCTTTTTGGGAATATTTATGCACTTGCTCACCACAGGGAGACGCCACTTGATTGCGTGTCTTCGAAAAGCTGACCTTTGCTGTTGCGGTTGCAGCGGCTGGTGCAGTACCTACCCCGTATATGTGTTTATTCATTGGTCATTGCGATGCA